TTCGGAAATGCCGCCAAGCCGCCCTGGCAGCGTCACGCCCGCGTCGACGTAACGTGCCACGCCCACCTCGGACCAGTCTTTTCGCTCTCCGGCCACTGCTCGGGAAGTCAGGCGGAGAAATTGGCCCGGGGAATTTGCATGCTATTATGAATCGCCTTTTTTTGTGTTTGGGGGTGCCGTGGGGAGGGTGTCTTAAAGACTAATTCCCTTCTGTCCAGGGAACTGGAAAAGTTCAGATGGAGGACTACAACACCGAAGAGGTAGTGCGGTGGCCCGGGACTACATCTCCCAGCATGCACTGGCATCGCCTTTTCCACCGCTTTCAGGAATATGTATTGCCTCCTGAGAACTGTAGGTGTTGGGTTATCTTCTGCAGTGTGTGAAAGTGGGCTTGACTTTAGGTTGCTCTAACCCGCACAGTCCAATTTCCGGAACCAGGCGCTTTCCAGGCCACTGGAGGTGGAGCTGAGGAAGTCCGAGGTAGATGAAACTGGGAAATAGAGCTAGGCGATAGCGCCTCCCAATGGTTGGAATTGTCGTCTAAACCTATGGTGTTTTACCAGAGATTTGTAGGAATCCCAGAGGAAAGAGGCATAGATTTTGATGAGTTACCTTATCACGATTTACCGGCAGGTTTGACCTGAGATCCCAGTCTTAAAGAACTGAATAGGGCTTCTTAGGCAAAGACGAAGTGGGTCACATAGTTCATGGGGCCGAATGACCTGGGAAGTCAACTGTCCAAGGAGTAGCATTGTTCAAAGAGGGAAGTTAGGTCTAATATGAAGAGTCTGAAGGCCATTCTATGGAAATTTGGTCATTATTTTAGGTAACGGGGAAATCATAGAAGGCTTTAAAGCAGAGGAGATAGATTTAACCCTCTGCTTATATCTGTAGTTTAACAAGTTTTTATATAAACTTCAAAACCATTATCCTGTGGCTAATAGATTTCAGGAGACTGAGTGAAGCCAGCAAAAACTGCTAGGAAATTCTTGCATTAATTCAAGTAAGTGATAAGGGCCCTGACTGGGAAAGATGCAGGAAGCATCAACCAACCTTAGTGGTTACATATTAGTACATGGGGATGATAGTGACAGTTCTTCAGTCCACGCGCCATAGATTATCTGCAAACCGAATTCAAACTACCTGAGTGGAGTCCCATGACTGTGACCTTTCTGGCTACAACTGACAGAACCAACAATGTTCATCTGGTCCAAAATCAACCATATTTTAAAAAAAAACAGCTTTATGGAGATACAATTCTCATAGTATATAATTCATCCTTTAAAATGGTTTTTAGTGTATGTATTCAGATATGTGCAACCATCACCAGTCCGTTTAGACTATTCAGATGTTATCCATACTGATGGCTAGTCTTTGACTCTCTTAAGTGCTTCAATGTATCTTGTTTTGGCAAGCAACTTTGTGTGATCTACAAATCAGATTGTGAATGAGTCTTCTTCCAATCCTGATAGCCTTCATATAGTCCAGCTTCTTGTATTATTTCATCAGCATACAAATTGAAAAAAGTTAAAAGAATAAAGCCCAGACTCACTCCTGTTCCCAATTCTGAACTACCCAATACCCCTTGTTCTAATGATGGCTTCTTGATCTATATACAGGTTCTGCATGAGCACAATGAAGTGGTCTAGCACTTCCATTCTTCATGTTATCTATACTTTGTTGATCTAGTCAAGTGCTTTCTCATAGTCAAGAAAACACAGGTAAACGTGTGCTTGGCATTCTCTGCGGTTAGCCCAGCTCCATCAGATATCAGCAGTGAGAGCCGTCATATCATGTGAATCTACCTTGAATTGATGGCATTTCACTGTGCATGTGTAGCTAGCTGCTACTTTTGTTTTTTTTTAAATAGTTTTATTGAGATATAATTCATAGATCATACACTTTCATAGTTCAGTCATATAAAAAAGAGTTGCATATACATCACTACAATCAGTTCTGGGACATTTTCTTCCTTCTTGTATTCATTATTTGGTCCCCATTTTCCTCCAACATTCCCTCCTTATGTCCCCAATAAGCCATTACATCAGTTACTGTCTCTATATATTTGCTTCTCTTGGGGTTTATATACTCGAAAGCATATTTTAAAAATCAACGAATATTTAAAAAATATTTTTAAATTATCTTAAGTAAAACACATAAGACAATTAAAACAGTAGACTTTATTCTTTCTCAAATAGCACAACCAATAAAATAGTACATAGTAGGAAGCAGTGCTGTAACTATGTAAAACACCCTGGTACAGTACTCTGATGCATGTACTGTGCATATCTCATGACATTTCCAGAAATTAATCATTTATCTTCATTCACTAGTTTGAAAACATTATCTTTGACAATATTTATAAAAGGCAGGTACAAGTCCTGGTTAAGAAGTCATGGATAAAATTTGATAGTACCCTGGTAATTGGGATATAAACATTTGAGTTTGTATTTGCTCTGTGTCAATTTGTGGCTAAACCTGAAAGTGGTGGAGTTCCTTGGAGCCAATTTGCACCCAGGTGCTCAAGCTGGGGACTGATGGCTCTTGTCTTTGACTTCACGGAGCAGAGGCCCTGTGATGGGCTGCTCCTTCGGGTACCACAGCCAGAGCACTAACTGGTCCTACAGCAGGCAGGAGCTGTTGCCTTTGTGCACCAGGGCC